CACAGCCCCTTATTGACACACTTTGGGGCACTTTTCTTACTCCATCTAAGCTACATGTAAAACAAGAGTGTATGACCAAAAAAAAAAAAAAACAAAAAAAAAACAATTTCTTTAGCAGTTATACTGAACTCTTTAATTGCAATCTTCATTCTTTTTTTTTTTTTGGGGGGGGGGGGGGTAAATAGGGTGCCACATTAGTATTGATATAAAACATTAACGGATTAACAATAAATCAGTCATTAAAAAGACTGCAAAATATTTAGCTTCATTGGCTTGCAATGGAAAAGTTTCATACGGCGAGCAAGTGTTCCAAAATGCATCTTTAGCGCATTGGAATGCAAGGATGGACATGTCAATCAGAAGGCAACATCCAGAATCTGCAGGAAATGTGCAACGACGAAGCAGCCAAGCGTGCGCTGTCATTGGTTCAGGTCGGGGGGAAACACAAGGCCATATTTGGAGGGTACTCAAACGCACGAGGTGAACAAACAGTAGACAAATTTGCACGCAATATATTACTGAACATACATGAAAAGCTAAAGTAAGTAATAAATATAACAGCACAGGTATTATAAAGCCAAATAACAGTACGGTAATATCCCGAGTCATCGCCCCGCTAGAGATTTTCTACGAGAGCTTGAACTCCTTTAAACAGCCTACTTTTTCAACCTGCCATTCATGAGCACTTCTGAAAAAAACAGAAGCACTAATACATTACAGGTAATTTCTTTAAGAAATCTCCAAAAAGATCTTAGTTCCATGTATTTCAATAGGAAAATAGGAGGATCAAGTTTGCACTTTGGTGAAAGCCTGAAAATTGCCTTCTTGATGGATTTTATTATCTATCCCGTATCACCATCTGTGAGCAACCTTTCATAGATATTTCACAAACAAGGTCATCTTGTGTTAGTGTGCAGTGTCGGACTACCTGCATGAACCTCTTTCTTTCAGTCGTGTTTAAGGTTCCGGGGTGCGCGCTTCACGGATTATTTTTTTCTGT